CTCCCAGATGAATAATGACAGGACCAGAGAAAATAGTCTGAAGTTGCGGCAGGGGAGGTTTAGATTAGATATTAGGGAGAATTTCTTTATTGAGGGGGTGGTCAGGCACTGGAATGGCCTGCCCAGGAAGGTGGTGGAGTCACAGTCCCTGGAGGTATTTAAGAAATGTATAGATGTGGCATTTCAGGGCATGCTCTAGTGCCCGGGATTGTTGGGTTGGGTTTTCTTTCTTTGGTTGTGAATGGTTGAACTTGATCTCAAAGGTCCTTTTGAACCATGAAGATTCGGTGATCTGTGTCGCTTTAGAAGCCATGGGGGTGAAAGAAACAAGAAGAAAAACAAATCAGCACCTCTAACACCCTAAGAGAGTTTCCATGCATAATGAATTGCAACACACATCCTTTGGGCCCAGTTTGGTGCTCAGTGAGCCAAGCTGGAAATTAATTCTTGGTTCCAGCAGCTGAAAGACTGGCCTTTTATGCAGAAAAAATGCTGTAGGCTATTGGGGCTACTTCCATCTCCAGGGTATACCTTCCATCACTCCTCACCAAACAAACCAGCAAAGTGAGCACTTAAGAGAGCTTAGCCTACAAGCAAAATGCTTATTCAAAATTATGTTAATGAGCATAGCAATTTTCATTTTGGGCGGGAAATTGAGATTTCCAAACAGAAATAAAAAGACTGTCCTGTGTACCATGGCAAATACATTTTTTTTCTTTAAATATACATCAGACAGTTCAGTAACTTGTTCATACAGCAGTGAGCAACTGCCTGTAAGGCAGTACTGGTCTACTTTGAACAGAACAGAGATGTATTTTGAACCGCTGATAATCTTATCTAGTATAAGAATAAATAAATTAAAAAAGCATTATGGTATTTAAGTTGCCCCAATGATGCCTGTAACTGGGTGGATACACCTCTAATCACAAATTGTTTCTTCCAGTCTCACTGTTTGCTTTTGTTCTCTTGGTTACCTTATTTACCACGCCCTGTGGTAAATAAGGCCTGTTTTGGTAAAGAGGCTAATTTGTTTACTCATGTAGAAAGGGAGAAAAAAGTCTGCACACTTGTTGGCAGCAGAAATTTGGGCACCAAATCCAAAATGCAAATTGTGTTGGGCTTTTTTGGGGAAAGGGGTGACAACAGCTGTGCCACCCCACAAGAATCTATTCTCAAGCATCACTAGAAAGAAGAAAAAACCTACTGAGGATGACCATTCTGTGGCAAGAATAGTTTAAATCTCTTCCACTCTAATTCAAACAAAGAAGGGAAAAATAGAGACATATTCAATGGCACAGAGTGGGAGAAGTGTTTTTTGGCTCTGGTAACCACACAGCCATGAAAAGCTGCTATAATGGAAACTGCTCTGGATTTCTCTTTGGAACAGCTGCAAGGCAGTTATTTAAATGTACTCATTTACTTCTAGTGCTTGGCTGGTAGGATCCACTGCTGGCAAAAGCAAAGAGAGAATGATGAATTTTTGTTGTTTTCTTGTTTTAAGCATTTCTGAAGCACTGTTGGAAGTCCCTGGTTCATTAAGCAACTGGAGCTCAAATCATTTCTTCTTCAAAGCTTTTACTGCCGAATCCATCTCATGCCATTCACAAAGAGAGAAGATGCTAATCACTCCACAGAGTACATTAATCAGTTCAGATCACCACTTGTTATGTTTCCTTTCTGCAAACAGCAAAGCCCTCTGGGATGCTAAATGTTTCTTACAGAATTATTTAACTTTCCGCTTACTGTGTTATCCCATTAATCAGGTTTCTATGATAGAATTTCGCTTATACATAGTTGAGGTATGAGGTCATCACATGTACCACAAAACAACCCTGACTTAAAAAAAAAATCAAAAAAGTTCTGTTATGTTTTGTTGCTCTCTCTTTAGGAGCAGGATGGCTTATCTCATCTGAAATCACTAGATTCTGCCTTACAATAAAACCCTGTTGCCAAAACCCCAAAGAATATTCTGGAAATTTTTCATTTCATTGACTCCTTTGACATACTGTGAATTGTGTCCCAGAATTGTATTCTATTCCAGATTTCAGCTATGGATAACTAAACAACTCTGAAACTTTACTTATCCTTCACATTCAAACATGACCAAGGTGCCTTAAATCTGTGCTTTTAAGTGATGCCTTAAATCTCACTCTATACATCTGGTAACAGGATGCTGGGAAAATTAATGGGAGCAGAGAGCTTTGGACAGGTCAGTGCATAGGGAGGTATGAAAAGACATGATTGTGGAAGATGTCTTGCTTCAGTAGAGGGTTGTAGAGAGCACCAAAAGCAGTTCCTGGCATACTAGCAATAAGAATATTTTAGAACAGTAACAATAGTTTCACACCTAGCATCAAGAAGTGACTTTCAAAATCTTTTCCAAAATGTCCATCTTTTGTTAGCTGACTCAGAAGACCCTGAGAAAGACAAGTAAATGAGTAAGAACTTCCCTCATTGTGGTGCCACCACAAGCATCTGTAGGAATCAAGTCCAAGCAAAAACCCATCAGGGTCAGCCTCAGATTGCAAAAGGTCCTGCTGAGGTCTCTGGAATTCTCCCCCATGGTAAATAAGAGTCTATTCTTGTTTGCCCTCTGCAGTTAAAGGATTGATGATAGGCAGAGCAATATTTATTACTGAGATATATACGCATAGGTACATGTACATACAGATGTATACAAAATAAATAATATTTATTTCTAAGATTGACCAAGTGGGAAGAAAACCAACTATCCTGACAATGCTACAGGAAAGTTTAAATAAAAAAGATAAAAAGAATAGAGAAAGTTTAAAGTAAATTAGCAAAACACTTATTTTTGTAACTGAGATGCCTTCTAGCTCATGCAAAAGGCATGCAAGGCTACATCCAAGTTTAAAAAAAAACCCCTTCCTTAAAACATTAGTCTCTAAATGTCTTCTGCAGCACACTATGGCATTGGGTCATTTTTGAAAGGCAAAATAATGTCCTTCAGAAAAAAAAAAGTATTTTAATGAATAGTTTTCTAAACTATATCTAAAATTTATTTGTATGTCAACACAAATGTGAAAGGCAAGCCCATGCAGTCCCATTCTGAAAAGTGCTTTACTTCAATAATTCCATGTAATGATTCTTCTCTTGTAACTACGTGTCTCATGTCACCCTTGCTTGTTAAAAAAACCCTTCCTTACCCTCAGAAACATATACATGGCTCCCAGCTGACTGATTGGAGCTGTTACTCCTTGGAGCTGTTACTCCTTTACATAGGATTGAAGCCATATATCAACAATCAGATCCACAATGGTTTACTGAAACCTATGGAAATTCATGCATGCATGTAAGTCTGCCCGCATGGATATCAAATGTGAGGCCATTTTTGAAACCTAAGGTTGAGAGAATGGTGTTTTTCTACCATAATCTCCCACACTGAGATATGAGTCTTTTCTTTGCTTCCTGCTGCCATTTCTTTTTGGCTTCCAAGTCAAATTTCATTGAAACACAGTTTCTAAAATCCGTGCCTGGAGGGAGAGCTGTCTGCATTACCAGTCAGTGACCAGAATCATCCATTAATCTCTACTCTTTGGTACAGTGCTGCAAGTCCAGGGCAGGATTTATTCAGTAGAAACTCCCTGCAGATGCAGGACGTGTAGACTTACTCATCCATAATTGCAACAGAACGGTGACTATGCTGATCTAAGTCCTTTACAAGTGATAGCTTTTCTACCATTCATTATTGCACCACAGTTGACCTTATTTTCCCTTTGAGAAGGCATTTATCCTGAACAGCAATCCTCAGATGCACCCCTGTCTCCATGGGTTCTCTCTCCAGAGCCTTCTTTACGTATGAGAAATGTGTGTAAGTGCCTTTCAGAGCCTGTGAGGAGATGGCCTGGGGGAGCCTTTCTCCGGAAAGGGAGAACAGTCCAGCAGCAGCCAGGCAGGCTGGGACAGAAACATGCAGCATCCACCTCCTACCAGGTATTCTGTTCAGCTGTGAAGACACAAAATCCTTCTCTGACCCTAACACGGACAGAGACTTGAAAAGCAATAAAAATGCTTTTAAAATACACTAGTTCTCCATTTGAAACACAGGAGGAAGAGGAGCACAAAGAAGTTTCTCCAAAGCAGATTTCGGATTTAGCTCATTTCACATCACTACCCGTTAGTGGACCTATTCCTTTGTAACTTCACGGGGTCCAGGGATCTCTGAACTCCTGCACTTCTCAGCGCACGCTGCTAAGAGATGCAATCCCGTGAGTCAAAGGATCTTCAGCAAACACCAACAAGAAAGCAAAATAAACATTAGATCTCCAACTTCCTGACATCTCTCTTAATCGATTACGATGCTCTCTTCAGTAAAATCTATGTCTTAAAAGTTTTAAGTTGTAACAGACACTTGGGTCTCTATGAAGTCAAAGGGGCTTTGAAAATGCTTTTCTGCGATGAAATATTGACTGTTATTAACATTTTCTTTTCTGCTTGTAATATTTACTTCATTAGAAAACATAAGTACTTGGTGTTCAGTTCATAGGGCTGAAGAAATCATAGGTATTTATAAAGATTAAGTCTGAAACTCTGATTCATGAAAGCAAGATTAGTGTGTTAGTAATTTTAAGTGTATTATTAATTTTATTGCCATTTTTGGCTTAAAATGTTAGGTTTTCTGATAAGAACACTGAACCTGAAGTTTCCTGTTGTATTATTCCAACGGAACCACTTTATGACCTCCTCCTACTTTGTATTAATTAGGCACAGTAAAAATCAAACCACAGTGCAGCGACCACCTACGTGGAGTCAATAAAGATCATATTTGGCTCTATATTTTCTTCTACAAATAGTAGCATAACACAGAAAGGTCATGTCTCAAAGTATAACAACATGATGAGTGTCTTTAATACAACATTTCGGGGAAAATACCCTCGATGACTCAGAAGAGAGACAGGAGAAAAAGCCGGGATTCAATGAGGAAAGAAGAAAGAGGTTCAGTCAGTTCAGCTGCCAGAGTTTTACTGTCGTCTACTCACCTCAATCACCTCAGGCTGGGACATCATGGAGGACGGCACCAAATCAGTGGGGATATCCATGGTAGCTCAAAGTGTCCCCACTGTCCTTGCACCGTTCCTTGGCACTGGCAAACCCTTGGTGGGAACACAGAAGCACCTCCTCAGACCCTAGTCATGCTGGCATTTGATCCTAGGAAAAAAAAATAAAAAAGGTTGAGAATTATGACATTATGACATCTTTATCCTTGATTTCTATTAACCATACTTATTTTTGTGCTAGATAGGCACAGATTCGCTGTAGGTGAATATACTGAATTGCCATGTAAAGGTTGATCAGATGATCCAACAGAATGAACCCATTTCTATAACTACCGTGTTTATCAAGGTTAGATTAGCATCCACATACACTTCTGTTATTTTGTGCAAAGAAAACCAAACAAAAGGGGAGAAAACTGTCAACGACCAAGAAACTAAGCCCATAAAATCAGGGCTTTTAAATATTCCAGCTGAAGACTGCTGCAGGTTTTTTCCCCAATCAGGCCAGACATATACAACACAAGCCACAAATCAGCCACCACAGAAAGGATATTGGGAAGACACCTATTGCTCTCTGTATCTACCACTTCCTATTCTGTAAGTCACGGCAGAAAACCACTTGCGCTCAGTGTATTCAGCGGCCAACAAATACACCAAAAATGACCCGAAACCTAACTAGTTTTTCAAAGGCAACGCTTAACTTACCAAGCCAAGAAAGAACAGATAAGTGCTGTAGGAAAGTTGCACTCCACATGCTTTTCTGAGTCAGTTATGTCCTTTTTTTTTTTTAAAAAAAATTATATTAATTTAAACTCAGCTTTTGCACGCCACTGTGGAAATTATTCCTCCTTAAAAAGCATCATCTTGAAATGCCTGCTTCACATTTCAACACATCCCCACATGCCTTACGTCACATGTAGCTGTCTCATCTTCCAAACTCTTGGATCACTTTTTCCATCTTTATATGGCTTTCCAGTGACCCCTATTCTTTCCTACTCATTTCTTGCTAGTAACCTTTCATTCTTTCCACTCCTTGCTCCAAATTTCTACTACTACACTCACGGAGAGGACAGAAAATAAAGATTTAGCATTCCACCAAGAAAACCTTCACTGAAGTCAAGGAACTGAGATACATATCCTTCAGGTTTTCTGTTTTATTTTCAAAAACAGAGGTTTGCCTGTTTTCTGAAATTCACTATTTTTTCCACTCTGCATGACAGATGAAGGAAACAGACAGCATCAACTTGAAACTACTGTTTTTCTGACTTTGGGAAGCTTTTCTATTTGACAGAGAGTGATTTTCATTAGAAGTCCATCAACAACCTCAAGATCCTCAACCAGCACATTTCATCACTGTCTCGTGAGCTGTCTCAAATGTAACTTAAATAAGATTTTGTAAGACCTTTGCTTCTGTGCTTCTCAAAACACACATAAGAGCAGCATTGTCACTGCACCTAGTTTACAGCAGCTCATTATTGGGTTCTTTTAAAATTTATTCTCTTCTCTTAATCCTGAAATGCTGCCATGGATAATGAAAAGAAAAAATTACAGATTAAGCAGAATTTAGGGAAGGCTGTGTAGACCAAAACCAGAGGTATGCTTAGAATCTTGTTCGCCACATATAAAAAGTGGAGAAAAATAATCATTTTTACTAGGGACTGCCACAGACCAAAAAGAAAAACTAAGGAAAAGTAATAATCTTTATTCTGTTCAGCCTTTAGCTAGCTCTGTGTACTCCAAATAGAACACAAATGTCAGAAAAGGCTTAACCCTGTAAAGTCCAAGTAGTACTTTAATGCAGATAAGAGGAAAAATATGCCTGTAGTCTTTTTTCACCATCTCTCCAAGAAACAGAAGAGACAGCTTTAGTAAAAGATTCCTAAGCCTATGACCATTTCACATTTCCCCTTCTGCACTTAGCTGCCGTTTCATTGCTCGTATCACTCACTGATCTCTCAATTTGGCTAGGTAAAAGAAGGCTCTTCTGCATACACCTTGCTTCTCAACCTTGGTTAAGACTTTCTGCCAAGGGGTTAGGCTTCTAAAAGCATTCTGTCTGAAAATAGGTTGGTCTGCACTAAAGGACTCTCCCCCAGCTCCTGGCCCACCTCATCACAGAATCGCCTAGGTTGGAAGGGACCTCTAAGATCATCTAGTCCAACCATAAAAGAAAAACAAAACAAAACAAAAACCAAACACACGCACCCCCAAAAAAAACAACAAAAAAGAACCAAAAAACAAACACCAAACAAAACACACACCCCAACACTAAACCATATTCCCGAGCACCGTGTCAATTTGTCTTTTTAATATCTCCAGGGAAAAATCTTCTTCAGCAATAATAAAGCTCCGAGGGAGCTGTGCTTCCACAACAGAGCAAAAACAGGCTGACTCCATTCAAGCAAACAAAGGTGGCTCCTAACTTAATACCCGTGTGAGTTCAGGGTACAGCCCTCTGTTTTTCAAGAACTACAAATAAAGGGAACAGGATCCTCAAATGAACTTTGCTAAAAGGCATTATGACAGAAAACGTAATCTCCTATTAAAAAGAAGGTCTGAAACACGACAGCATAGGAGTGGCTTCTCACTAATGAGATTTTGATGGCTTGCTGCATTACAAAGTGTTGAGAAAAATCCTCAAGTTTGGAAGCAGATTCACACTTATTTTTCCCAAACACTGGAACTGCAGGTCTTGGAGGCAAATACTACTCTAGGTACTCTTCTCTTGATAGATTCTGCTGTCTTTACTGAGTTTATCCAGAAAACTGCAAACTGGGGAAACGCGTTGGATCTTTATCTAAAATTTGTAAAATGAAGATTATAGAATTTTTTATCCTCTCATCTCCAAGAAACAATGTTTCATGCTAAAATACAACACTTAAAATGTCATTTATGGTAACACATTGAGGTTTTGGCTGAGAAAAAAATAATCCTCTGACACCCGGCAGAGCAGTGCATATCTCACATGTGGAGCAGGAACGCATCCTCACCAAACAAAACATACTGCTGTCTGACATGCTATGAGTAAGCATCATGATTTCTGGATCAGCTGAGACCACAGAAAAGAGGAACCGTGCAGTTTTGTCATTACTTGGAGTAGTTAGGAGAAATGCAATCATGTATCACACAAACATAGAGTCATAGAGTTGTCCAGGCCGGAAGGGACCTCCAAAGGTCATCTAGTCTGACCTCCCCACAGTCAGCAGGGACACCCCCAACTAGACCAGGCTGCCCAGGGCCTCGTCGAGCCTCACCTTGAATATCTCCAGGGAAGGGGCCTCAACCACCTCCCTGGACAACCTGTTCCAGTGCTCCACCACCCTCACAGTGAAGAACCCCCTCCTAATCTCCAATCTAAATCTGTTCCCCTCCAGCTTAAAGCCATTGCCCCTCGTCCTGTCACTCCAGGCCTTTGTAAACAGGCTCTCCCCAGCCTTCCTGTAGGCCCCCTTCAGGTACTGGAAGGCTGCTATTAGGTCTCCCCGGAGCCTCCTCTTCTCCAGGCTGAACAACCCCAGCTCCCTCAGCCTGTCCTCGCAGCAGAGGTGCTCCAACCCCCTGATCACCCTTGTGGCCCTCCTCTGGACCCTCTCCATCAGGTCCATGTCCTTCTTATATTGAGGGCTCCAGACCTGCACACAATACTCCAGGTGAGGTCTCACCAGAGCAGAGTAAAGTGGCAGAATCACCTCTCTGGACCTGCTGGCAACGCATCTTTTGATGCAGCCCAGGATTCTATTGGCCTTCTGGGCTGCAGCTGCACACTGCCTGCTCATGTCCAGCTTCTCGTCCACCAGCACCCCCAAGTCCCTTTCCTCAGGGATGCTTTCTAATACCTCACTCCCTAGCCTGTACTGATGGCAAGGACTGTTCCGGCCCAGGTGCAGAACCTTGCACTTGTTCTTGTTGAACCTCATGAGGTTCACCTGGGCCCACCTCTCCAGCCTGTCCAGGTCCTTCTGGATGACATCCCATCCCTCTGGTGTATCGACAACACCACACAGCTTGGTGTCATCCGCAAACTTGCTGATGGTGCCTTTAATCCCCCTGTCTATATCATTGATAAAAATGTTAAACAGTGTTGGCCCCAGCACGGACCCTTGAGGAACACCACTTGTGACTGCTCTTTATCTGGACTTTGAGCCATTGAGTACCACCCTCTGGATGCGACCATCTAGCCAGTTCCTTATCCACTGAAGATTCCACCCATCTTGAAGGAACTGCTTCCGGAATGTCCGTCATCATGGCAAAAATTACTACCCTTATTCCTCCTCAGTTTTTTGCATAGTACACCATGATCTGCAATTTAGGAGTGATACAGCAATACCAACAACTCCTGCATCACTGCATACCTCGTCTGGGGCCACAAATATGCAGCATCTCTGCTAGAGCCAGGTGCTCTGATTGCAAGGCAAATTGGATTTTCAACATCAGTGGCTGTCTCCTGCATCAGACAGGTGATGTCTGGCATGGTTGCCATCTTTCAGCTTTATTTTCCTGCACCCCTATGACAGCATCTTTTGGTACCACAGCTTAACTTCACAGACTTCAAGTTTCTGGATTATTCTGAAGATGCCGATTTGCTGTCGCCCTGAAACTCTTAAGTGTGACTTAGCTAAAGAAAGCTACCCTCCCTGCACACCTCTAGTGAACAAAAGCCTGCGTTAGGGTTTCTCAGAGGACAATTTCAAGTCCTAATTGATCCCAGATGAATAGGACCCGTAAACCCGTCAAGGAAAATAAAACATTCAAACAACATGTAAAAAGTCAAGAAAGTAAGAGAAGGATCTCACATAAGGGCCCCACTTCCAGATGTCACTTCAGAGACATTCCAGATTTCATTTGGCATCTGAAGTCTTGCCATCCAAAAGTAATCATTTGGCATCACTGGCCTCCGGCATCCTCCTTCACTAAACGACCTCTGCTTGTAAGCCTTAGTTTGCTCAACACACAGATAAAAGCATGACCCCACCACAGCAGCCTCACAAGGCAGAAAGGCAAATGAACACCATCCAGGTAAGAGCAACAGCAATGACTTGACCTGCCTACCGCTTCATTTTACCTCTTGTTACAGTGATGGTAACAGCATGAATTTTTAGTTGCCTACAGTGGACTCATGGAGGTGTTTTTCTGCTCTCCAGTAAACCACTTGGT